GATGGATGGATGGATGGATGGATGGATGGATGGATGGATGGAAGGATGGATGGATGGATGGATGGATGGATGGATGGATTGAGAAAAGAAAAGATCAAAAATTGATAAAAATCATACAATGATGAATTTTCCAATATCCATCTAGATTTATGAACGTTAGATCAAATGATGGATTAAACAAATTGAATTCAAAAAAATATTTAAAATATTAAACTAAATAACATCTAAATTATTTATTTTTTTAAACAATCTTTTAAAAATATTGCGTATATAAATACTATAGGAAAATTTTAGTCGCATACCAGCCAGCTCAAAAATTAAATTCATCTGCATTTATTTAGTAATTTAAGTAACAGTATTTGAATGACAATTTCAAACATGCAAACTGGAGTAATTCCACGTGCAAGTGCTGTTGGCAAAATTGCGCGTAGTGAGCTAATTAAAATTTACTGATTTATTTGAAAAAAATTGACATCTACCGCATTTTTTAAAATTTATTCATGCGAGAATAATGTTTTACAATCATTTTCATTCCCTGTCCACTATTTAAGTATTTCTAATTTAATTATCCTGAAATAAAAATATCAGTTAAATATTTAAAAAGATATAACTCCTCAACTTAACAAAGCAAATCTGGACACTTCTGCGTGCGAATGTTAATCATGAAATGGATGCTGTTAACCCAAACGCTACTGATAAATCTCACAGGTTGTTTCAACGTGTATGATGATAATATTTGGACTTGTTTCCCACTCCAACACTTCCTAGGTCTTCAAAATGAAATAATATAAAAATAAAATATTGACTAATAAAAAATAAAAACATAAAAACATTAAGAAGAAAGATTAAACAAATAACGGAAAATAAGTGAACAAGAACATGTAAATTGGAATAAACAAATAAATAATGCAGATGAACAAAACAAATTAAAATGTGTCAATTGGTTAATTAATTAACAAACAAAAAAAAACAAATTGAAACAAATGTTTCGCCAAAGACGAACGGATGAACGGACGGACGGAACGAACAAAGGAGAGATAAAAGAATGAAGGAACAAATGAATAAATGGATGAATGAATGAATTGCAATTGGTCTATTGTTAATGCAAGATCAACCAAGGACCTCAGTTAAGTCGCTTGCTACGTGTCTCTGCATGCCTGTCTTAATTAGTTTTTATTCCCCAATATATAAATATACGCTCTCACATACTTCTATGTATTCATATATATACATGTAATCATATATAATAAATATATATATATATATATATATATATATATATCACTTTATATATTTATTCTGAATAGTGTGTACAAAAACACATGTTGATATAGATATTTAAAAATATGTAATGCATTTTTCATTTGTATTCCTACGAATATGAATTAAGTTTTTATTTTATATAGGCAAGCTGTGTGTTCAGTTAATTAATTGCATACTAATCACTTAAAGTAGAAATACGGTTGGAGTAAATTGAATTGCGTAAATTGAACATTTAATACATTAACATTTAATAACATTTCATATAAGAATATATATATATATATATATATATATATATATATATATATATATATATATAGAGAGAGAGAGAGAGAGAGAGAGAGAGATAAAGAGGCAACAGATACATCCTCACATGCACGCATTCAAATAAAACCTCGAGACAACAAACGATATACGGATGCACATTCCAGGCATACAAATTATTTAACAGCCCGTTATGACGAATTCCAAAAAAAAGAACATTCCGTGAAAATTTATTAATGAGAAATATACAGAAAGACTCTGGATTAACGAAGACGAATGCGCAGATGAGAAGCATAAATAATGTTACGTCTACAAATACAAACACGCGTTTGTATTTATACTTACTTGATCAACTTACGTACAAGCGTTCAACTTTTGTAGAAACAGTCTTTCTTTAACATTGTTTTTCCGTCCTCGCCATCAATACGAAATGACTTAATCGAAAGTGGCGTGCAATCAGCTCAACGCTAGTGCAAGATCTTTCATTACGAACACTTGGTCTCTAATCGTAATGATTAAAAATTTTTATCTAAAGTATTACTTCCAATCGGTCAACAATTTACCAGCTTAACTATTTCGCCTGTCGCTTAAATACACGTACTAGGATTAACTTTTCAAAATACTCCTTCAACACGGCCAATAAAATGCTCCCTGACAGCATTTAGTAGCAACAGAGCAAATAATTTGTTCTGAGTCATTCCATTCAACTAATATTAACATCGCGTTTTTTGTCAGTTGTTTTATTACTAGCATCGATAGTTTTTGAAATGTAAAATATTCACTTGCTACTGTATACTGTTTTGTTTGTTAATTTGTTGGTAATTATTCATTATTATATAATATTTCGTTTGCCATCTCTGACTCTTTAAAACTTTTTTCACTGCAATGTCTTCTCACGACTGATTTAAGCATTCCCAATAACTTCTTGGTCCATAATTTATTATATCAACTCGTGGAAAAGGAATTAATTATTGCAAAAAAAAACCACTTAATTCAAAACTATGAACTAATTTGAGATTGACATTGTATGAATTGATCAGTGCATTACTTGGAATGCATCAGTGCATTACTTGGAATGCATCAGTGCATTATTTGTTGTTTGTGAGTAGGCATCAAGATATTATTTCCACATCACTTCGTCAGAAGCCATCAATCCTCTTTTAAATTCGTCGTTAAGTGCTCCCACGAGAACACTGCTGAAGTAGAGACTGGCAAATTAAAAAATTCCAGATCTTAATTCAATATTTTTTTGTAAATCCGCACATTTATTTCCATTTAAGATACTTTTAAAGATACTCCCAAATCTTGTATCATACGTGAATGTAATGATCGGTTTTTCAGTTTGAGATAAGCGTTTGGTATCATGTTATTTCAATTTAAGATACATCTGCAACCTTCATCATAATTACATAAAGAACTTATTTATCCATACGCAAGGTTTCAACTCTATACGGTAATGATGTGATGAATTTAATAACAAATTATTTTCTTTGTCAAATTTTTAAATTAATTGTTTAGACATTTTTATATCTTTTTCAAGATACACTCACACTACAAAATATACCGAATGGAAGTTTTAAAAAAATTAATTTGTCTTAATCTTCGCGTAATTCAATTAGACATTAAAATAGTAATTTACCAAAAACCTCGTCTCCCCGTCGGGGAATTTAACCCCGGTCTCCCGCGTGACAGGCGGGGATACTTACTACTATACTAACGAGGACTTGCATCAACTAATTCTACGTTTTAATTTGTGAGTAGTTAAACT